TTTTTTTTTTTAATTTTAACATCCATTCGTTGTGCTATCTGGGGTGATACAAGCATCCCCAGATATTAATCCCCCCAGATGGCTCCTTTCTATTGGTGGGGAGCTGCACCTGCTGGAATCCGGGTCCAGCGTCCCCTGAAATACAATCATCATGAGTACATAAATGATGCAAAAATAATGCACAGAATGATAGAAATGCCTCTTCAGTCCCAGAGGGACCGCCAAAATTAATGACCTTTGTAAACCAAGCTCCCTATCTTGAAGGACTTATCAGTCGAGCCCTGGATTACTCCTCGCTCATGCCATACCATTGTATGTCAACCACCGACAGCTCAGAAGGAGGAAACAGCTCTCAGCCTGGGAAACAATCAGGAAGTCTGAGGGAGGCTCCCGGCTCAGCCGGCTGAGGTGTTAACCAGTTCGGAAAGATAAGCTGGAAATCCCCGCATGAGACAGTTCCCTGTCTCTTCCGCCCCTGCCCAATGCACCTCACCCAGACTCCTCCCTGCCTGTCCCCCCAGCCAGTCCATATCAAACCAGCAATACTTCCTGAAGTCGTACCCGTTAACAAGCCACAATTTGAGGAAACGTAGGGGCCACTGCAGGAGTGCCCAAATTCATCCGACTACAGTAGAAACGTTTCTACTCAACTTTTTTCCGCGGCCGATAGCTGGGCCAAGTACTGGTGGTTTAAATTTGTGAATGCCTTGCTGAATACCTTTTTTTTTAATGAAAAGTCATTAATTTGGCTTTGAGTGATGACCATTGACCTGTGAGCCCTAATTTCAGTTTGCACAAATTGTATTATAATAAGCTCTACGTTTCTCCTGCTTCTAGCCAATCAGCTGCCGCCACCAAGTTTGCATTTACACACTCAGAAAGGGCATTTCTTCACAGTTTCCCGTTTGATGGCTGTTGTTTCCCCCTTGATGGATGTTGTTTCCCCCTTCGTGGATGTTGTTTCCTCCTTCATGCATGTTGTTTCCCCCTTGATGATGGATGTCTTCCCCCCCCTTTTGATGGGTGTTGTTTCCACCTCGGTGGATGTTGTTGATTCTGTCCAAAAGTATTGTAACACCATCAGAAAGTCCCGATAGCAGATGTTATCGACCCCATCAAAGCCAAGGAAAGTGATGAGAGCGTCTACGTCTTTCTTGTCCAGGTCAATCGTGGTTACAAAGCTGACGCCCCTGGTGAAGTCAATTCTACTCAGCCACCCAGAAGCATCCACATCCATATCCTCTAGCTTTTTCTGCAGGCGGTAGAAGCCCTGGGCCCATGCATGATGATCATCACCTCCCTCTTCTCCATCCGAGAAGGTTCTACTGATCCTGTCCAGACACTGTAGTGCTTTTCCCTGAGCAGGCATCAGGAAATGAAGGACCTGCACTTTGTTCCCTCCCTCAAAGGCCCAGTAGTTTGACACCCCTTCCGCCTTGATGAGAAATTGCGGTGGCATTCCCGCTCCTTCGTGTTCCAGCCGGAGTACAGACCTCAGTGTCCCTCCGAAATGTGAAGACAACTCCATCTCCTTTCCGAAGTCATTGCCGTGAATGACCCCTTCACAACACAGAGGGGTTCCCGTGGCCTTGTGCTCAAGGACCAAAGCATCACCTGCTCTAACTGGATCTCCTTCTGTCAGCATCCTTCTTGTGGGGTCCAGGCATACGGCTGCCCACACCGACCCATAGTTTCTGGTCGCCGTCATCACGACTTCTTGATGCCTCGAGTATCGAGAATAGAACCCGCCAGGAGAGTGGGCATAGGAGTGAAGATAGAGAGGCTCTTGAAGGTCGTTGATCTGCCGTCCCTGAACCATGGGATTAGCTACAAGGCGGAACTTTTCTCCATAGTGAAGAACAGTGCAAGGCTCCCAAGCCGTACACTCATCTTCTTCACCATCGCCACTACCATGATGTCCACCGCCTTCTTCTTCTTCTTCAGCATGGCCATTACCATTTCCGACTTCCGCACCATGGCAGCCACCACCATTGCCTCCTCCTTCACCTTGGGCACCACCATGTCCACCTTTTTCGCCCTGGCCGTCGCCATCTTCTCCACCTCCATCTTCACACTGGCATTCATCCTCTTCCCCTCCACCCTCGCGATCGTCGTCCCCACCATCCCGTTCCTGTTCCTGTTCGTGATGGAAGTGGGCGGGGTGATCATGCCGCTGGTCGAAGACCGACTGCCGTGGAGGCACTTTGTACTTGCGAATTATAAACGTATTGCGTGCACATGGTTCTGTAGTGGAAGGTAGATCCGAGACCGTGGCCGCACAAATGAACTCCCCCGTTGCAGCGCAACGACTGTCCTTGTCTTCCACATCGCAGGCCAGATAGCCTTCAGTGAACAAGTTGCGTAATCGCACCAGGTCACCGAAGTGGACGAAGCCATCGTCAGCGACGGTTGTCAGCTCCACAGGGGCTAAGGCACAAGCCATACGCCGCTTGAACTTGTCCAACTTCAGCAGTCCTTTGCTCTTCTTTGCTAGGTAATCCTTTAAAAGGGTCTCCCCTATCTCTACATCCTCGTTCCAATTACCCACTCTGCAGCAGGACGTGTATCTCTGCGCCCCTTGCTGCTGCTGCTTTGTGTAGTACTGCATCTTCACACCTCTGCACGTGTTCACGCGCTCGCTTGTGCGGGTTTGCGTATGATTGCCTGTTTGAGTGTTTAGCGCGTGTTTATGCACCTCTTGTCCCTCAGTGCGGGTGTGGTGGTGGTGGTGGGGGGGAGGTCAGAGACTCAGAAATACTCAATTCGACAGCAAGACGCTGAGCTTGCATCAACTACTGCCGAGGCTGGAAAGCGTGTGTGTGCATGTGAACCGCTGCATGTGCGTGCTCTGGCGGTTTTGGCAAAGGCAAAGGGGAGATGTGAGTGTGCCTGGGGTCGTGCTGCTCGGTGTGACTATCTCGTCCGAGCGGTGACCAGATCAGTGCGGAGCTGGTCCTGCAGCTGGAGCTGGAATAGAATACACTTGATTCGTCAAACCCTTCGTTGGTTCACAACGTCAACGTTGCAGCTTTCAGCTTTCAGGTTTCAGGTTTCAAGTTCCAAGTTTCAAGACAAATTTATTCCATAGAGAATAGCAAAGGAAGGATACCCCTAATCCCAGTAGTGTAGTGGCAACCTTTCGAGAAGCTGAAGGCCTGCATCACAAACAACCAAGCCGAGCAACAATGTCAAGAATGAAGAGGTGAATTCTCCTTACAGGCTACTTCTGTGCCAACCATGTTGATCAACGAGGATGAAAAGAGAAATCATCAGCGAAGTGCAACAGAAACGGCGGCGGAGTCCTCGTGTACTCCCCACAAAATCGGAGCCACGCTCTAAAAAAAAAAACGCGCCTGCAGCAAAACGTCGCTTCTCCTCGATAACAACCAATACTATTAGAATCAGAATGTTTTCATCACCAACATACTGCTTGGTTCGTCTTCCTGAGCACGCATCTCGAGATCCTCCGCCATAGTTCTTCTGTATGTCTGCCAGCTGGGGGAGGCCATCTTTATGTCATCATCGCCACGGTGAGCAGCGGAACAAACCAGCTCGGCGCCTGCCTGCTGCCGTCTGGTTCAAGAAACCCTCGCTCATTGATTAGCTTGCTCCCCACCACGCAGGTTAGCACCCACGAAGACGATCGCTGTATCCAACGACTTACCCGTACTCAGGCTCCAGACGCAGCTGCTACCAAGCGCGACTTCCCCCTCTTCCCGCCGCGGCTCCCGCCAAGAAGTAGCATTTCAGGATCAACTAGAGAGACACTCAGCAAACGCCAGATTTTCTTCTGTTGCCACACTTATCGCCCCGCTTATCTTTAGCTGCTGGCCTTCGCCGTCTCCTTTTCGCTAATGCCTCCCAGGATACACCCGTTCACCCGATACGTAGCACTCGGGCAGCCATGCGTACCTCTGGGATTCGCCAGCCCTCCAACAACTGGCACCTAGAGTGAGTATGCCCCTCACTCCCTCTGAGTAAACTCGGCGCAACGTGTGGAGATTTTGACGACACACGAACACACACACACACACACACTCTCACATACACACACACACACACACACTCACTCTCATAAACACCCACTCTCACTCTCACATACACACACGCGCACTCACGCACGCACACACACTCTTGGAGTTGTGTATAGCGAACATGACAAACAACATCAGCATACAAACTACGGGCTGCGCACCCGTGCCCTCACGGTAAGTCAACCACACACACACACACACACACACACACACACACACACACACACACACACACACTCATACGTACTCACTCTTTGTCTTTGTCACACACGTTGACGATCATGTTCATACACCAATCAACACCAACGGTCCACAATTTGTAGCCCTCGCATCTCTCTCTCTCTCTCTCTCTCTCTCTCTCTCTCTCTCTCTCCGCGCGCGCGCGTCACTACTGTGAGAGAAGCAACGCTTATCGCCTGCATTGAGGAACTCCCTCGAGGAGGCTATCCCTATGGAATAAAAAAGCCATAATCAGGGGCAAGGTCCCACTTGAACGGATTAAGAGATACTAGCCGTTGATCTCGGTGGTTGAGCTACAGACTTGTCCTATCCTAGGCTGTAAAGAAACGTAGATGGTACATAGTACTGCGCAAGGATGACACGCATAAATCGAAAAACATATAATAAATCGACCCTGCTACAAAGCCACTTCATGAGGAGGATTTGTTCAACTTGCTCTAATGACGACGGCGACAGGAAAGGAAGCCTCCAAACGGCACGATCAGCAGTTAGCCAAGAAGGCAAAGAGAAGCGGGGAGGGAGATGGCAAAGGTGCGCGGGGCGGGGCGAAAGCGACGATTCAAGGACTTTGGCTTACCTTTGGAACCACATCCTCCAGCCCCCTTCAATTCTCTTCTTCCCGTCTCTTTTATCTACCTCTTCCTTTTTTTACGGTTCGTTAACATGAGCTAATGAGAATTCACGTCACCTAAACTCTCTTCTCTCCATCTCTCTCTCTCTCTCTCTCTCTCTCTCTCTCTCTCTCTCTCTCTCTCTCTCTCTCTCTCTCTCTCTCTCTCTCT